ATGAGTGTGTGTGTGTGGGGGGGGTTTGTGTATGTGTGTGCACGCGTGTGTGTGTACATACATGTGCATGTTGGTGTGAGTGTGCAGTGTGTGTGTGTGGGGTGGGTTTGTGTATGTGTGTGCACGCGTGTGTGTGTACATACATGTGCATGTTGGTGTGAGTGTGCAATGTGTGTGTGTGTGTACATGCCATGACATGATGCCTTCTTCGTAAACAGGTGCTTGAGGATGAATTCAGTGATTGCCAGCCTAAGATTGAGCAGCTGAAGGAAGCTGCAGAGAATATACTCGCTAGACTGCATGCACACAGCCCTGAAGCCCAGCTCATCAGCAGTCAGGTGAGGCCTCACTCGTTCGCCCCCATCGCAGCCCATTAACCCTCACTCTCACACACACTATCTTTCCCTCTCTATCTCTCTCTCACACATTCTCTTCCTCTCATTCTTTCTCTCCCTCTTCTTCTCCCTCTTCCTTTCTCTCTCCCTCTCTCTTTCCCCTTCCTTTCTCTTTCCTTTTGTCTTCCTCTCCCTCTCTCTCACACTCTTTTCTTCTCCTTCTTTCTCTTCCTCTCTCTCACACTCTTTTCCTCTCCTTCTTTCTCTCCCTCTTCCTCTCCTTCTTCCTCTTTCTCTTTTTCTGTCTCTCTCTCTCTCTTTTCTTTCTCGGTCTCACACAGCTCGTGTCCCATTATCCCCGCCGGTTCTCTCTCACACAGCTCGCCGCCGTCACCCAGCACTGGGACGGACTCAACGGCCAGCTGACCGGCCGCGAGGAGAGGCTGCAGGTTGCCAAGGAGACGAGCGGCGGTTTCCATGGCGACGTCGCGCGTCTGCGCGCGTGGCTCGACGACGCGTCGGGCCGCCTCGACACGGCCGCCGCCGTCAGCGCTCCCGAGCGGCTAGCCAAGGTCACCGCGCTCGGCGACGAGATGCAGCAGTACCTCCCCCTGGTGGCGAGCATCGAGGAGGTGTGCGCGGAGCTGTGCGAGTTGCTGACGGACGAGTCGGCGCGGCAGGATGTCCGCAGCAAGGTCGCAGGGGTCAAGAAGGACATGACATCACTGCAGCGGAGGATCGGTGAGTGACCGACGCACACACGGACGCACAGAATTCAGAGACTCAGAAGAGATTTAGTAGTTTTACTGCTACTGTAGCAGCATCAGAATCTGTTGAATTCTAACTGAATGCATCTGCATGGAGGTTTCACCGAATACTTCACTCGTATTTTAATTATTAAATTTTTATAATTACAAGAAATTAGTGAGAAAGAATTGAAGAATTGAGAAATAGAAAAAACATTTGCCGTGCTGGGGACAATACCCGTGGTTTATTAATTCCTCAATTCCTAATTATTATTTTCTCTCTACCATGTCGTTAATCTATCCCTCCCCGCGCATCTGTTCCAGAGGAGGGTAAGACAGAGCTGGAGGCAGTGCTGAGGGAGGGAGAGGAGTTCAGGGAGGAGGTCACCGAGATGGCTTCCTGGCTCGCCGACCAGCAGGAGGCGCTGGCAGTCGAGATGGTGTTGACCGCCGAACCGGACAAGCTGGAGAAACAGTTTGACCTGCATGAGGTGAGAAGCGGGGGCGGGGAAAGGATGGGAGGGGTGGCGAGGAGGGAGGAGTGTTGGTCGTAAGGAGGTGTGGGGTGGCGGGAGATAGGAGATGGTGAGGGGTGAAATACATGTCTCTATTCACTACACGTGCTTTGGTGTGTGTGGGTGGTCGTGTTAAGTGTTAAGTTACATGTGGAGTGTTAAGTGCCTTTATCCCTTTAATGCTCTTTAACCCATACTGCATGTTAATGATACATGAATGTGTAATACATGTATGAAAACGCATAATGTATCTATCACGTATATATACACAATCGTATTGCATTGTGGGATAGCATAGGCAGGACTATAATATGAAATCTCTACCTCCCTCTCTCCACTTTCAATCTCTACCTCCCTCCCTCTATCTTTCTCTGTCTATATATATATATATATATATATATACATATGTATATATTATGTATGGTGAGATATTTGATCACTCTGCATGTGTACGTTACTCGCCGCACCCTATAAACAAGACGACATTCTTTGCTGCGCAGGAGCACGTGCAGGACATCAGCGACGCGGTGCACCACCTGGTGGAGAGCGAGCGCGGCATGGGGCCGGTCGCGCGTGACGTAGACTCGATCCACGCGCAGCTGGATGAGCTGGGGGCGCTAGTGTCGCGCGTGCGGGCGACCGAGCGAGAGCTGGGAAGCGCGGAGGCGGCGGCAGCGCGGCTGCAGCAGGAGGGATACATGCCGAACTCGGACACGATCGATAAGGTATGCTGCGATGACGCCAAGAACTAATTACGTCGTTCGCCTTGCGTTAATTAAGGTGTGAGTGCCGTATTTTGAAGTATGTTGTCACGAAGTAAGACGTGTGAATGCAATCCTGCAAGCTGTATGTTAGTGCCACGACATCAAATATAGTATATATTTAGCATCATGACATCATTAGTAATGACATCGTTAACAGCATTCGTGTCCCGACGTTGTTAGCGACATTCACGCCGCAACATCGTTAATTAATATAGTTCACATCGCAACGACGATGTCTGTACAACCATCATACGTCATCTGCAGGTGGAGCAGCTTAAGCGACAGGTGTGTGGGGTGAAGGATGCGTGCGAGGCGCGGCAGCAGGAGCTAGACTCCACGCTGGACCGGCTGGACAAGCTCTACAGCGACCTGTCGGCTACGAACCGCTCGCTAGAGAAGGCAGAGCGCGAACACGACGCCCTCAAACCCATCGCCGCCGACGTGACGGCCATCCGCGCACAGCAACACGACCTCAAGGTGACCCCTACATGCGCGTGTCCTTTGTAATGTAGACATGTGACAAGGTCACTAGTAATGTAGACATGTGACAAGGTCCCCTGTAATGTAGACATGTGACAAGGTCCCCTGTAATGTAGACATGTGACAATGTCCCCTGTAATGTAGACATGTGACAAGGTCCCCTTTAATGTAGACATGTGACAAGGTCCACTGTAAGTATCTACATCACAGGTCACATTGTCACATGTCTACAAAAACAAAACAAAACTTGTAAGCAGGATGTCATCAATGGTAACAACGTGTTTCGGCTATTAATTTGCACCACTTTAAGGGCGACAAATTAAGGGTGACCTTGTCAAACATCTACATTATAGGTCCCTTTGTTACATGTCTATATTAGGGGTCATCTTGTAACACATCTAAATCAGGGGGGGCTGTCACCCTGCCACGACCATGTCACAATTATTTATTTTATTTATTTTATTTCTACATCTTTATTTCGTTTTATTATTTTATTTTATTTCATTCTTTTATTATTCTTTTATCTTGTTTTTTTCTTGCATGACTTACAAGTTTTAGTTCCTAGTAAGTTTTCTTAGACTTTCTCACATCGTACATTAGGATTCGGGGATTTCGACTTCCCGATCACCAGCTATAGCTGCGCTCTTGTTTTCACGCCGCAGGGTTTCCAGAAGTGTCACATGGAGCCGTTGGCGCAGGACATCGAGGCGGTGCTGACCGCCGGCCAGGCCCTCGTCCAGTCGGGCGGACACGGCGTCAACACGAGCACCATCGACTCCGACCTGGAGCGACTCGGTGACCGCTGGACCGACCTGAAGGAGAAGGTATGAGGCTGTGTTTATCTGCGTTGCACGCTTTTGTCTTGTTTGGTAATATTTTTGCCTGTGTTCTTGTTCGCTGGATT